AACTACAATCAAATTCTCATTCCGTTTAATCCTGTCAAACAATTATACTGCACAATACACACTGTTATTCTCCAATATAGACTAGAGACACAGAACCTCTATCCTCTTTGACGCAAGGTCCGAGAAGAACGAGAAAGGTCTGAAAAAAGATAACCAGTTGTAAAATAAAAGTGAGGTCCCACACACTAATGACCAGAAAATGGTCTCTGATCAAAGGGTTATTGGCGCTCGCTCACCGTTAATGGCTCCTGATCTCACCGTTGGGAAAATGGTCGCTTCTACCCGGTGAAATGTTGGAACCTGTAAAAAGTATTTGGTATATCTCGATGTTTTGTTTTAATCATGAATAGGTAAAGTCAATCATTCTAACACGTGTCGAAAAATTCATTCTGTTTAAATAAATAACATAGTAGTGACAGGTAATTTTTTCTCCCATTAATATAAAAATATATATCTTAATAAAGGCATTTAACGTTGAAATATATTACGCACGTTATACAAATTCAGTGTATACTAATTACTCACATGATAGAATATAATTCACGGATGTTATATATATATACATTATGAATATATATCACGAGTGTGTTCAACTCTTACATAGTATGATGAACCTTGTTAATTATGGAAATCAGATTAAAAAATACCGAGGAGTAACGTTCATACAGGTATACCCTTACCTCGTGGTCACCTCAGACCAATATAAAGTGTACCTCGATATGCTTATTGCTTGTAAATCAAACTAAAATGCTGAGTGTTGTAATATTAACTCTATGGCGGTAGTACTTAACTCTTTATCAGCACAGACAAATAAATGATAACAGAAAGCAGGTTGCAGTTACCTAAGATAATTAATGTAACCTGGTCGAAGAAAAGGTCATAAATACAGGTCACTAAGAGATAAGCTTCGGTCAGGATTACGTGTATAAATCTTCGATAGTCAATTTGGATTATAGAATGAGTAATCGTAAGTCTTTTTCACTCGAGGTAATTCTTATTTTCCTAGACATCATATTTATATACTCAGTCTTGTATAGCCTTCCGGGTCACATACTGTATATGCTCTTAGCTAAGTCTTCATATATTAGTTATATTTGTATATATTCCTGGACTTGAAGTATGTTGCTTTCTTAGTCTAGGTATTTGTGTCTGGTGAATATTATTTTCATTATGATTTTTCTTTTTAAATATACGATATATTACATCATCCCACCGAGTGTACGATTTATCATTTTTTATTAAAGTTTCTATGTTATTATTCGGTGTTGTCTTCATGTCAGAGCTGAAAATGATCGGACTGAATCATCTATCACACTTTAGAATAAAAATTAATAACTAGAATTAAAACAAGTTTATGAAATACTTGTCCATATGTTCATGTTTAAGAAATGCAAACAAAGTATAATTTTTCATTTCTTCAACTATTTCTCGTGTTCAGGACATTTTTTTTTCACTCGTGTCCTTCATTTACATTTTTTTTATTCATAAGGAAAGAAGTTAAGACTGGAACATATAGCAGCAATCTGCGGGGTAATGCGTGAACTGGGAAAAGCTGTATATATGCAAATTATGAGTGAAATTATACGAATAAGGGAATAAAATGAGCGTAACTGCCGAATGAGTCTTTGTATTTATTATATATATATATATTAATATAGGAGAGTGTCTACATGTTTGTGTGCGTGTCTGTACAGTTGTCTCAAAAAGTTCCTCTACCCCCTGTGGTGACGTTTGTACATGTGGCACCGTCGCATTACTAGGGTAAACTTATGAATGAATCTGTTATTGTCTGGTAACAATGGACCTGATTGGTGAAAAAAGATTCCTAGACTCAATTCCGCTTGGCTAACCAAACTTAACCTATCCATGGCCATTAATTCAGTGGGACATTGTAAAACGAGAATATGAGCACACTAAGTCTTTCTCCCGTCTCCTAAAACTCCTGTATTTTATGTGGGTCTTAGGTTTCCCTGGACCACTCCACTTCACAGAACTAATGATCAGTTCAATAACTTCGCCTTTAGCACTCTAACGAACGTCGTGTAAAAATAGACTTGTTAAACGAGCCTTTTTTTTTATCGTCACATTATTCATCGTCAAAGGTTCCTGGCAGCTGACGCCGCTAATGGTGACCAGAGAAGGAGTTATATATTTTGACCTACTCTTCTCCCGTCTTCACCTTGAGTAGGGTAATCCCTTTATTTTTCCTCTTCTTATATTCTATTATTATTAACTTGTTTTTCTTATTCTTTTTCCATCCTTAGGACAAATATGATAATTCCTTTTATTGTCTACTATCTAATATTCAGCAGTTGGTATAATTTTCGGCTTAACGCTTCAATAGCCAACATGTCTCACCTTTGACGTGCACTAAACAGCAACCTAAGAGTGGGTCCTCCTCACAGTATAATAATATAATCTATCATCAGAGTTTCTATCTACTTTTAGCTCCGAGTCTATTACAGTCAGTCAAAGTCATCAATATATTTTGTTTAAGTCTTTTTGAAGATGATTTAAACCTTTGAAGATGATGACTTAATTCTTTATGATGATGGTTTAACCCATTAAGAATGTTGATTTAAACCTTTGAAGATGATGACTTAATTCTTTATGATGATGGTTTAACCCTTTGAGGACGTTGACAACCCCTTTGAGAACGATCAATCAACCCTTTAAAGGCGATGACTTAACCTATTAACGACGACGGTTTAACCCTTTGAGGACGATGAATTAACCCTTTGAGGACGATGAATTAACCCTTTGAGGATGATGACTTAACGAGTAGGACGTATTCCGTAATGATGTGCTGTATTCATGTAGTGCTGATACAACAAGTACTGCGTCTCTCTCTGTTGTTATGACGTTTACACTCATCTGTTTCTCGACGTGTTGGAGTAAACTGTTAATCATCAAAATAATTACAACATGTAGCGGCAGGATATAGTGACGGTATAGCAGTAATTTAGTTCAGTGTACCATGACTTGAGATTAACTTTGAATGACGATTGATTTTAGAATTTCTATCTCCGTTCAGTTTCTGTTCATTTCCAACATATTCCTGTGCTCTTATCAAAGGTTGTAGAGTGAATTTCTCATTTACTTATGTATATATCCGCTACGTGTGTTTATATAATTTTGGTTATATAAACATTTACAGATATAATAAGATAATTAATAATCATAAATAAATTGTAAATGGACAAATAAATTTTGTAAAAAATAAATGAAAAATGTGAAAAATTTCCTAAGAAATATATATAAATAAAATTACGTCAGACACATCAATCTTAATAACTATAATACCAAGATGATAATAATAATAATAATAATAATAATAATAATAATGATAATAATAATAATAATAATAATAATAATAATAATAATAATAATAATAATAATAATAATAATAATAATAATAATAATAATAATAATAATAATAATAATAATAATAATAATAATAATAATTGTAATTAAAACCAGTTCTCTAATAACAATGCTTTATTATTAAAATATGGATGATAACAGTTACAATACAAAGGCAGCTTTTAACGTAAGAGTCAACTTATTTTTAGATATGATGTAATACAGGTGCTCTCTCTCTCTCTCTCTCTCTCTCTCTCTCTCTCTCTCTCTCTCTCTCTCTCTCTCTCTCTCTCTCCTCCTCGACCGGAATTAAACGTGACACAGCCGTTCTTCCTAACATAAGAAATAGTCTTGAATAAAATATATACCGTTTACGTACATATATTTCGTACCCGGAAGTCTGCCCTGACTAAGTTGGCCATATAAACCACTTGTAATATTTAACACACTACCACGATCAAGAACAATAGTTTTAGCAACAGATATAGCCACTCTAGTTATACACATGTCAGAGAACTCCAGTATATTATATCTCACTGTCAGGGAACATACTGTATCGTATTTTTTTTTTAGAGAACAAATCGTAGCAAATCCACGTCCTGGAATTAGTTAACTTGTAGCAAACTATTAGATATCTCCTTTCACAAGATATATTACAAAAACTTTTCAAATATGTTTCAAATAAAGATTTTTTTTTTTTTAATATGTTAACACAATTTCCTGACATTTAATACAACATGGTGTTCAGGTGTGTGTTACAGGTTGGCAATAATACATATTTCTATCAACTCAGAGAACTAAAACAAGGTAAGTGGCAATGACCTGAGATGTTTATATCATTATAAACCTCAAACTTCCCTCTAAACTTTAACTACGTCTTTGTTTTTTCTTTTGTTTTGTTTTTTTACTTCTATCACTTGTCTACTTCTCCCCCCGTGTGTCTAATTCCCGTTCTAACATTCATAAACAAACTATAATCTTCATCGTTATCATGGATATAACTTATTGTTGACTTAAGGAAGTAAAACAACAGCTCTAAATATTTTACAGGTGATATTAAAGGATTCGTAAAGTCTTGTATTATCATTTAAATCTTCATTGTATTTATTGTAACAGAATAAATATGATACTGGGGGGATAACTTTACCTGATCTAGATATACGAGAGAGATTAAGAAGAGCCATTAATCTGGTAGGTGAGGTAGGGAATAACTCCACACAAAGTTTACACCATTTTACACTATTTCCTCTAATTGGTCACAAACAACTCAAGAATTAAGATAAGTAAGAATTCTTGAAGGAAACTAATTTGTATTGTGTGTAAATAAATAAATTATTAAAAAAAAAGAATTTACATGAAAACTTCCTCTAAATACCTGTTATCCTTAAATTAATAAATGATTCTCTAGAGCTCAAGGGATATACTACTGTCATGTCTCACTATTTATTTATCACCCAGAAGAAGACGACTAAAGCAACTGAATTGTATGAAACGAGGAGGAAAACACAACAGTTCTCTGAGTTCGTTCCTAAAAGATATGTCATATTTAATTAGTAGATAATACACCTAAGCTCGGGGGATTTAATTGGGAAGCACCTCATTAAATACCTTCCTTTTTTTTCTCTCTCTCTCGGCAGATGCTGGTGAGGGCGTGGCAGGGCCAGACCAATCTGCTGGTGGCTGTAGTGGTGCTTTTGTCACTCCTCCTGGACAACTCTTCAGCCAGGGACAGGAAACAAGGACAACCTACAGGTAAGAGGCTTGAGCTCAGATTCTCAAAGGCTCACACGTTTAATTTTCACCTGAACTGGAGACGTGACAACCCTTTTTACAGGTTGACTTTTAGCTGAAGGAAGAACCCAAATTAACAAGCAAAATAGCATGGTAGTTGCATTGAAACTTTACACCTTTATTTTCTCTTAACCTTAGATAAGAGAATAAAATAAAACGTGAAATTATTATTATTATTATTATTATTATTATTATTATTATTATTATTATTATTATTATTATTTATTTAGTTATTTATTTTATTTTTTTTACTTATTTGTGTAAGAGAATCCTGACAATGATTTGTTGCTGGTCGACGAAGGAATTAGTTTATACTCGAGCAAGAAGCTGGAGTGGATAGTGTTTTCGATTTATGAGGAAAAGGAAAGATAACTAAAATTAAGATAAGGACTTAATTAGTTGATACTTATATTGCAGCCTGTATTGGTTAAATCATACGCAGGTACAGTCTACGCTAATTAATATAATCCGTACAAACTGGCGGCCCCGAAATTCCCAACTGGCAACTTCGCTGGGTGCATCCCTCACCCACTTCCCGTAACAAACAAACCAGACAATTAATCGGTGGTCAGCCAAGGTGTAAAGTCAAAGCTTACCCCTGAACACGTCAGTAGGGATAGGTTTTAGAAACAGAAAGCAAATATGTTTTAAGGTTATTTATCCACGGTAACGTGTTCGGGGGTAAGTGTTGACTTTACATAGAGCCTTACAGCCGGAGTTTTAATCACCCTCTTTCGTTGACAACCATTGTGCAGCACACAATGAAGAGCGGCGGTGGAAAACAAACAAATATTAGAATTTGAAGATGTAGGTAGTTGATCTTCGTTACTCTCTTCGTAATTATTTTGTTTGTTTTGTTGAATATTTATAGTAAATGCGATTAATGAACAAAGAAAAACATAAAGGTAATTTTATAACAAAAAAATTTGTATTAATGTTTCTCTGGCCAAATATTATGAAATTTTCAAGAGTCTTGTGTTTTGTTTTACTGCCAAGTGCAAGCTCGTTCAGCTGCTGGACTCATCTAATCTTACAAACGCTGGTACTAAACAGGTAAACACATTTAAGATAAATATTTTAAATTTTTAGCAGTTCTGTAAGTAAATTTTCGTCTGGAAAATATAAGCATTTTTCCTCGCCAATTAATGGTACTAAAAACTCTCATGTTCATGATCGTCCGTGTACAGTCTTAAATTTGGACCAGTGTTTGTCACCTCCCGCACACCAACCACACGAGTAAGACTACCCATAGTGCACCCGTGAAGGTGGACAGGCTTATCAACCTTGCCCTCGATGGTTCTGCACGGAATTGGAATTTATGGAAATAATTCATTATTTCGAAAATAACACAAAACACCAAAAATTCACCTCAGAAACCCATAGTTGGCGAGTATTTTGGTACGCCAGAGCATGGTGATTCCGAATCTATGGTCGACAATAAGATTGGTTGACAGATTTTAATTAATATTTCAATGCTAATTACTCACCAACTATATGTTTCCGAGGTGATTGTTTGGTGTTTTTGTGTTATGCTGAGTACGCTGACTCCGATTCTATAGTCCACGATTCAATTGCGGGGAGATGAGTGGTCGTTTTGATGCGTGGAATATTTTAATGACATTTTCAACGCTAATTACCCGCCAACTATGGGTTTCCGAGGTGCGATTTTGGCTTTTTTGTGTTATTCTGGAAGTACTTAATTAGTTAAACCCTGTGTGACCACCGCCCGTGACCCCACTCGGACTTACCCAACCTTAGTTTAATCCCACATAGCAGTTAATCCGTCGAACTTCGCCCGTAAACTCACACAAGTTAGAAATTTTATATTTTTTACTATATATACTTTTTTCACAGTTACATTTTCGTAGTTACTTACTCTTAGGTGATAAAACATTATCGAATTGTGTGTGAAGATTATTTCCTTAATAAATATTGCTTTACTCACCATAAACTGGCTGCATCTACCTGAACCGGGGGCCACATTAAATAGAATCTCTCATTCACAACACGGGCCGCACAAACACATGGTCCGGGCCGCAGGTTGCCCCTGCCCGCTCTAATTCACTGTACTCTGGGGATTGGCATCGTACTCAAGAGGTTACCTCATAGTACTCAAGGGATTTAGATATCTTAATAGACTAATTCATACTACTCAGGGGGTTAACATCGTACTCAAGCTATCAAAGCAAAAAATACCAATAATTTGCAAGACTCATCACGCCGTAGTATAGAGTATATCATACCATACGTGACGTGGCATCAACAATAACAAATATGAAACAGTAAAAAAAAAACCAGAACAAAACTAACAAAATAAAACGTTGATAAGATAATTGATGTTTGTTAGTTTACATGTAGATCTAGCCATATGTCTTTGGCTTACACTATATAGTAGAATTATCCCAGTATTTAATTGCAGTTTATTGCAATCAACAGCTTATTCACAAAGATTATATGTAATTATACTCATTAACTGTAACTATGGCATTGAGGATATATATTATGTGTTAATTAAATAGAATCATTTCAGTGATACATTTATTTGTTATTGAAATATAATCTTATAAATGGTGTCATCTCGGTTCACATTTGTCTTTATTTTTGTTTGTAATTTTATCAGTTTTTGTTAACTATATTGTTACGTCATATCAAAAAAAGTCACCATTACTCATGGCTAAATGACAGAAATGGAAATTAATTGGACAACATTGCACTAAATTTGGGAACACGTTGTGTAATTGTTTTGTGTTCGGTTAAAACGGGAATAGAATGTTTTATGTGGAGGTTCATCTATTTTAAGGCTTACATATTTTTAGAATTAGAAAATCTGAACGTTCGATTTTCATACCTGGAATGATTGAATACTTTTGTGACTAGAACTTTTTTAATGTAAATATTCGTATGTTTTATGATTTATACATGTTGATAATTACACTTAACACTCTTTATTACTTCGACTTTAAAGAATTTTTTTACGGACAGCAGCAATTCAGAACATAAATGACTAAAAATATAATAGTTATCATTATTTGTGTACGAAAAATACAAAGAAAATGTTATTTTAATATTAGATTCCATTTATTTGGATTAGGTTTCATTTAAGATAGTTTAGATTGGGTTAGGATTAGGTTAGGGTAGGTTAATATTAAGATAAATGAAGTTAGGTTAGGTTTGGTTTGGTTGAGATAGGTTATAGCAGAATAGATATCCTCCAAAACATTAATACCCCGATACCATAGCTTTATCCTCTGCCATACGATGCGGTTAATGTCACAAAATTTGAATATTATGTCGATAAAGTAAAAATACCAATGTGTGATAATAGCTGTTTCTATTTATTTAAGAGAAACCAACATTGAATGGCCACACACCTGACCATGTTGTAGGAAAAGGAAGCTCAGTTTATGTTGGAGTGTAGGGAAAATATTAGGAGCAAATTAAGATCACCTGGAAATTACCCTCACCAGACGGCGGGTTAGGTTAGGTTAGGTTAGGTTAGGTTAGGTTAGGTTAGGTTAGGTTAGGTTAGGTTAGGTTAGCGTTAGGTGTTTAAGTAATAGGTAAAATATGTTCGGGACTAATCTACATTTGAATCGAAAATTCCATACCTATGTTAGAGGGAACAAACGAAAGAGGTATGAACTATGATAACACAGGTTGTTAACATAGGTAAATAACACAACGATAACAAAGAAGAATAACATAGAAGGATAACACAGAATAAATAACAGAATTATAAAAGAAATGAACAACATATATTAATTTTGTCTCTCTCTCTCTCTTTTCACCTTCAGGAGATGCGTTGGTGACGGAGGACCCGGTGTGGGATATACGTCACATCCTGCCGGAGCTTAACATGGAGAATAACACAGTGACGGATGTTAAAGTTAACGTAGGGGATGTGGCTTACCTTCCCTGCCGCTTCCCTCAGCTCTCTACGCTTCATCAGGTAAATGAGAAGGACAGACAGATAGACAGACAGACAGACAGACGAAAAGATAAAATACAAATATATAAACACACACAGAGAGACATGCAGAAAAAAAGACATACAGACATGATATAAAGATAGACAGACACATAGACAAACGGATAGACAGACATACAGGTAAACAGACAGAAAGATTGACTATATATATATAAAAGCAAACTAGTTAACAAGCATAATAACAAATTAACAGACACTGAAAGAAAAACACACACACACACACACACACACACACACACACACACACACACACACACACACACACACACACAGACACACACACACACACACACACACACACACACACACACACTCACACACACACACACACACACACACACACACACACACACACATAAAGACGACAAACTAAAAGTCAAACAAAACGAACCACAAATACATGAGAATCAAAGACTAGCTAAAGATGGAATGAAAAAATGATACACACGTCAAAAAGAATGAGAATCTACATGACAACTGGAAGGGGGGAAGAGGAAATGAAAAGATAAACGTCAAACAGAAGCGAGGAATGAGAGAGAAAATATACGAAAGTAGTAAATACACAAAAGTGAAAAACAAAACGAAAGAGAGTCTATAAAAGAGGAGAGAAAAGTGTGTGTGTGTGAAACAGAAACCAAGAGAAAAAGAGTTTTATGATAATTGGGAGAGAGAGAAAAGGGAAAGATAATGATGGTGATAAGGGGAGAATAATATAAAAAGTAACTATAAAAGAAAAGTTAAATAAGAGAGAGAGAGAGAGAGAGAGAGAGAGAGAGAGAGAGAGAGAGAGAGAGAGAGAGAGAGAGAGAGAGAGAGAGAGAGAGAGAGAGAGAGAGAGAGAGAGAATGAATTAAAATGGATCTAGGTATTATTTATAGGAATATGGATGATGGTTATGAATGTGTATGAATGTGTGTGTGTATGTGTGTGTGTGTGTCTGTATGTGTGGGTATATGTATGTATGTATGTATACTGAAAAAACACATAAAATACCAATGATCCTGAAAAATAATAAATAAAAAACAGAAAGGCAAAAAAAGTAGAAAACCCTCAAATTCAGACAATAAAAAACGAAGTGAATACATGAATAAAGAAGAATAAGACAAACCCGATGAAATTGGGGGAGAGTCAACGTGCGGAGAATGACAGACGATAAGAAAATTGAAATAAATGGGCGGGAAGGGAGCGAGAAAGAAAAAAAGAGATGGAAAAAGAGAAGAAAATTTACGAGAGAAGAAGCAAGAGAGAGAGAGAGAGAGAGAGAGATGACAAACGAAGAGAGAATGAAGAGAAGATAATAAATATGAGAAAAAGGGAGGAGATAACAAAGGCAAAATGTGTAAGAGAGGCGAATGGAGAAGAGTGAGGGGGAGGTACGAAGAGAGAGAAAGAAAGGGGGAAAGAGAGGAAGAGAGAAAAGTGGAGAGAGAGAGAGAGAGTGAGAGAGAGAGAGAGAGATGAAAGAGTACGGGAGAGATGAGGCGAGAGAGACGAATGAGAGAGAGAAAAGTGAGGGAGAGAGAAGAATGATAGAGAGAGAAGGAAAGAGGAAATATTTAGGGAGAGATGGAGAGAGAGAGAAACAATGGGAGAGAGGGAAAGACAGAAGAGTGAAGGAAAAAAAAGGAAAGTAGGGAAAATTTGAAATAAGAGAAACGTTAGAGATAGGAAGAGAAAATTGACTGATGGGAAGAGAGAAAAGTAAGGGAAAGAAAAGTGAAAGAGAGAAATACAATTAAAAACTTGGAGAGGTTTTTACTCTTCTCGTTATATCATATAATGAGTTAATCTCTTATCGTATCTCTGGTTCCTTAGAGATCAGAGAGAGTGCCAAGAAAGAGATATATGAGGAAAGGAAAGGAAGAGAAGAAAAGACAGGAAGTTATGGAATACGAAATGACTCGTGAATAATTGCTAAAGGAAAAAAGGTAAGAGAGAGAGAGAGAGAGAGAGAGAGAGAGAGAGAGAGAGAGAGAGAGAGAGGTAGAAAGAAAAGAAAAATGGAAAGAAAGAGAAAGAGAAAGGGAAAAATTAGAAAACAGAACTAAAACGAAAGAGAGAAAAGCCTCCATTCTCTCCTTAAAGTGAAACAACAAAACAACTCGACGTAGCATAGAAAACAGAATCCAAATATCCCTGTAAACAAGCTAACCTAATCCTATTTAATCCCTTGTGGTGAAATACACTTAAAAAAAAAACAAGAATAAAGACACAGTAACAAATGATACATAATGGAACATAAAACCAGGTTAGAGTTTGGAGGTGAATAAGTAGAGACCAAATGGCGGAGTTTCAACATTTTTAACCTTACGTTCCGACCGATTCTAAATTACATACATTAAAATACCCATTACACCACGGGGATGTATAGCCATGGTAGAGGTTACATAGTATATTTAATTGACCAGGTACACTTAACCTTCCTCTCTTACCTGGCTATTGCTACAGTTCCCGGGCGTACGACTGAAAGAAAAAGAAAAAAAGATTCCCACTTCGTTATCTGGGTAGGCGCGTCGATTTACATAGCGGGAAACTCACTCCTTAATGGGTGTCTTATATAAATATATCTTGTTAAGACTTGTGTGGTGTTTCGAGGGTTTTAGTCAGTGGGTTTCCGGGGCAACATAGTGATAGATGGGATTGTTTGGTGGTGGAGAGTTAATTGATAGTAGAGATGAGAGAATTGGAGTGATACCAGGGAAAGACAGACAGACAGATAGATAGATAGATAGATAGATAGATAGATAGATAGATAGATAGATAGATAGATAGATAGATAGATAGATAGATAGATAGATAGAAAAAGAACTCACAGAAATAACAACAAATATTAAAAGGAAAGAGGACACAGCTTAACAGACAAACAGGGAGGAAAGGTGGAAAGATAAAGACATACTACAACAGAGAGAGAGAGAGAGAGAGAGAGAGAGAGAGAGAGAGAGAGAGAGAGAGAGAGAGAGAGAGAGAGAGAGAGAGAGAGAGAAAAAAGTAAGTGAAAGAGTGAGAGAGTGAGAGTCAAGCCCTAGTAACATTGTGTCACCCAAAGACCATATTACGACATTCCTGGGGGCTACTCAGCACTGCACTATTAAGCACTAAAGCGGGATTGGCCCTGGCGGCGTGGCGTGGCCTGTTGTGTCACCGAGAGGAATGTGTTATACAGTTCTGCCACGCACACACTAAATGCTTCTGCCAGACCTCTCTAGTTAGGCCAGCAATAACATGTTAAATTGTGTCCTACTGCAGCCCATCTACCTCCCCACCCCACCAGCAGTAAATTTCTCCGGCTACCGTTCTGGCGATGGGTATAAAATTGTAATATATTGAGAGTTCTATGTTTTCGTTTTCATATGTTTATTAATTTTTTTTTTCGTCTTTGTTTGAGCTGTTTTGAATGCTAATGTAGATAGGAAAACCGTGCAGAATAAATAAATATTCCAGATTTATGATTTAGCGTTTATTTATTTATGACGTCTTCGTGACTTTTAATACATTAAGCATCAAGAAAACAGAGGCTAAAAGGTCTTGACTAAGTGGTGGATGTATATGATGTGTTTTTGTGGGGCTCAGATGACAAGTTATGTAATCGTTGTCTCTTCTCATTAGTACACGACACACTGAGAGACAAGAAATATACTTATACTTTTAAGAAAGTATATACAATTCAAACTCTCTCTCCATCTCTCTCTCTCTCATTCTGAAAGTACTTAATTAGTTAAACCCCTTAAATTTCAATTCTGAGAAAAAAGTATATTTTGGTCAAAAATTTTGAAAGGTGTAAGACTTACAGTTTTGGTGGTTTTGGGCCAAAAATTAGATTTTGCTGAAAATCACAGTATGGGTACTCCTGAGCTTGCTGATTATGAGTGGGTGGTAGGCGATTCGATTGCAGAGTAATTAGTACTCAAAAATTCTGAAAGTACTTAATTAGTTAAACCGCTTAAATTTCAATTCTGAGAAAAAAGTATATTTTGGTCAAAAATTTTGTAAGGTGTAAGACTTACTTCTGGTGGTTTTGGGCCAAAAAATTAGATTTTGCTGAAAATCACAGTATGGGTACACATGAGCGTGCTGATTATGACTATGTGGTCCACCATTCGCTTGCAGAGTAATTAGTGGCCAAAAAGCCCTTGAAATATTTTACTGAAAATTTTCAATGTTAATTACTCATCAACTATGGGTTTCCAAGGTGTGATTTAGGGTTTGTGTGATATTCTGAAAGTACTTAATTAGTTAAACTCCTTAGATTTCAATTCTGAGAAAACCCTATATTTTGGTCAAAAATTTTGTAAGGTGTAAGACTTACATTTTTGGTGGTTTTGGGCCAAAAATTAGATTTTGCTGAAAATCACAGCATGGGTACTCCTGAGCTTGCTGATTATGAATATGTGGTCCATATTTCGATTGCAAAGTAATTAGTGCCCAAAATAACCCTTGAAAGATTTTACTGACATTTTTCAATGCTAATTACTCATCAAGTATGTGTTTCCATAGTGTGATTTAGGGTTTGTGTGTTATTCTGAAAGCAATTAATTATTTAAATCCCTTAAATTTCAATTCTGAGAAAATTGTATATTTTGGTCAAAAATTTTGTAAGGTGAAAGACTCATGGCCCGTGGGGCAAATGAGGCCTTTGGGATGTTCAGGTGTGGCCCGCGGGATGACGGTAAAATTTATCATCCCGTGAAATTATGAAAGAAATAGATGTAATCATGTCTATTTAGTAAAATGAATTTTACATACTTAAGATGAGACAAACCCAAATGAGGTATTCCTGGTAAGCCAGGTATGGCAATGTGTGAAGCTGTAAACTTCAATCCTGCAAATATGTGATATAGCACTTGTGTTGGCCCTGAAGAGGGTAACTAAAGTAAGAATTGGCCCTCGAAAGGTTTTGAGTTTGACACCACTGGTCTATATGATAATGAGAAGCAAACTAAGTAACTCAAGCCTCGACTCCT